TATTATCATTTTTCTTTAGAAGTGAAATAAAACTAAAAATTAAAAACTCCTAAAAGTGATACCAAAAAACAGGTTAAGAGTTTGATTAATATTAAATTATTTATATATATATATATAATAACATTAAAAATAAAAAAAAAATTATCATTTGGACATAACAAATAATACATTTAAACACAAAAAAGTAGTAACATTTAAACAAAAAAAAAATTGAAATATTCAATATTAATATTTAAAAAAAATAACAACAGTAACATGTTTAATAAAAACTGTAACATAACAATAATTATTTATCTCAAATTCAAACACAAAAAATAATATCATTCAAATACAAAAAATAGTAATATTCAAAAGCAAAAAAAAAAATAGTAACATTGAATATTAATATTTAGAAAAATAATAGTAGTAACATGCTCAACAAAAACAGTAACATACTCAAAATAATAGTAACATAAACACTAACATACTCAACAATAGTAATAACATGAACAATAACATAATAAAAAAAATAGTAACATGAATTTTAATTTTACTATTCAAATTCATAGTAACATGGTGATGTAAACAATATTGTACAAAGTTTACCCCAAAAAGATGAAGAAAAAAAAAAGCGATGAAAATGCAAAACAACACTGAATTTGAACTTGACAAACAAGAGACGACTGGATAATTCGCAAGGGTTTGCCTTTTTCTGATTAAACAAATTGGATTGAGATCGAGCCAAAGACTTCTTTTATAGACAATGATCGAAAGTTTTTTCGCCTCAGATGACGAACTTGCACACAAAGAAGAAGATGAAGACACAAAAACAGTTGAATTTACTTTGGATTTTTGAATATTGCTTTTAGACAAATCTAAGTTCACTGATTTATCAGTTGAAACGTCCAAAATCAAATGAGTCTTCAATGGCAAAGTGATCAGTTGATAAACCCTTTTATAGAGAAAGAGAGAGCTTTAAATTTGAATTTTAAATTTATGATAGAGATTTTCATTGATATTAAATTAATGGATAACAATTTCCCAAATAGAAAATTAATTTAATTTTTTTTTAAGGAAATATATTTTTGAGATAAAAAAAAAAGTGGACTTAAGTCATTATATATAATTTAAAACATGAATTTAGCTTCTTATAAGTTTCTTTGTATGACTTATCTCCAAACAAGTGCATCTAGAGAGATTCACTTTCAATTTTTACTTCTTTTTTTTTGGCTTGCAAATTTCCCACCCATTCCATTGATTGAGATGCCAATATGCAAGTGTGATTAGCAATTTGTTTGTTTGTTTTTGGTATTATGGAAATACAAAGCCCACTTAAGAGGTTTTCGAAGTTAAATTATTATAGCTATTATTGTGTTAACCTAGGAAAAATAATATATGTTTTGCTAATTTGTTTGCATATTATTTTGATTAATTTGGACAATTATTTCTCTCTCTCTTTTTACTATAGAGTTGATCGAGTTGGGAATTCTTTCATAAGTTATCATAAGTAAAAAGTCATCTTTAAAATATTTCAAAATGCATCATGTTCGTATTTATGATATTATGAGATAACGGTACGTGTTAAGGTAAAGGGTTAAGAAATAAGTCAAAAAATTCCAAATAAATACATTTACTTGGGCGAGGATAGAATACCAAATATGTTGAAGATAATTTACGAGAAGATAAGAGAACTTTATAATTGACAAACTAGAAGAAGCAATTTTAAGTGGTTACGATTTACAAAGAGTTGGCGGCCATCGTTAAGGTAACCGTCTCTCTTGTGTGCGTGCAACATGATCGAAGTAAATTGCCCAGGCGGCTTGAACATAGTGTTGCAACTTGGTAGGTTGGACCGACTAAAATCTTCAACTTTAACCCAACCATAATTCGGCATATTCAATTGAATATTGCACAAGTTGAATTTGACGTAGGCTCAAATTGAATTTGGCTTATCTAATTCAGGTTTATTTTGGGTTTGTTCAAACCCAAAATTAGCATGTTGTTATAAATCTGATACATACTACATAGTATTCACTTGAAGTAAAAATCAGTTACTTCAATTAAATATTTAACATAAATACTATAGTATTTAAAACATAAAAAAAAATATATATTGGTCAAAAATCAAATTGCACTTTTCTTAACATAAATTACTTAATAGTCATAATAGCTAAATTAACATAATAGTCATAATAGTCAAATTAACATAAAAAATTATGTTGGACTCGGTGTTTAATCATAATATTCGAATTTAGTCTGATTTAATATTCGGGTTGAACTCGAATATATAATTGAATTAAACCCGATTTATATATTTGGGTTGAACCCGATAATTCAAGACATCAACTCGTGTATTATCTAAATTTAATTAATGTTGATATTTTTCAACTTAGACTTAATCCAAATATTAAAAAAAGAGTTTTGAATGCCGGTTCCCAAGCCTAATAGGATTCAAAAAAAAATTCACTTGCTAATTTTCTTTTAGATTAAGTACCTGTTAAAAAGTCAAAATAAATGACATAATTAACGCTCTTTTATAATTGCAAAAAATAACGACAATGTTATTACCTAATTTAAACGCCTATTCTAAAAAATTACGTCATCCTAATGTACATTTTTCTCAATAACACACAAATCGTAAGACATGTATACTAAAAAAGACTACTGGTAAATGAAATAAAATATAAAACACAGATCGTCAAACAATTATACTAAAAAATATTAATAGGTACGCAATAAAAAATAAAACATTACAGGTAAACGAAAACCTAGATCCTCATACAGATACATTAAAATGCAGATCATTAATGTATATTCTTTTTCATAAAAACATATCATTAGACAGGTACATTAAAAACATAGATCGTCAAACAAGTATGCTAAAAACACTGATTGTGTAATGTATTTTTTTTCTCCATAAACATAGATCGTCAGACAGATACACTAAAATGCAAATCTTCAAATGTCATCATAATGTATAAATGACTTGGTTTACTAATTTAAATTTCAAAACTGATAGATAACACCACAAAAACCTTAATAACAAACGCAAAAAAATAAAATAAACTAAATATATTTTAGGCTTAAATCATTTGATGAGGGTAAAATGGATAATGAAAATTATTAACTAATTAATTTCCTTAACATTCCCGCCAAGAAACCGCATTCAAATTTTTTAAAAACATGAGAACTTTTTTTTATATTAAAAATTTGATAGGATTAAAATTGGTTTACACACAAAAGGATGGACACTGTCCTAATTAACTATATTAAGATCTTTAACTCAAGTCCTATTTTTTGGATTAGGGTCAAGTTGAATTTAGGTTGACTCACCCAAATTACACCCCTAGTTGAAGACTAATCCTATGAATAGAAAGACCCTCTTACGTAAAAAGGATCCCAACATGATCGTCTTCACATAGAGCAACTATGCAACTCTGTTTTTATCATTACAATTGTTTTCTTTTGGTTATGTAGATATTATTGATTTTCTTAGTTTTAATCCAATCATTACTACATAATTACGATTAAGATCTCATCAATTCGTATAAGTAAGGACCGTTGTGTTTGAAAATCGGGAATTCGTGAGAGCTTTGACACGCCCACATTCACAGATTTTAAGCCAAGTAGTATCATAATACTTTCAAATTTATGTCATTCCAATCGAAAGATATGAGTCTTATTAAATATTGATATAATACGAACCTAGAGATCTTATTATTAGGCAAGAGACCAATCTCTGAACTGAATTGGGTCAACTGATATTGGATCAATTATTGGACTATCAAATTCATGCAAATCAATTGCTTATTATGGGCTTCCATCACTGGATGATTTAAGGGTGATTTAGAAGTCGGTATAATTTTTTGGATTTATTTGAGTAAAAGTACAACACAAAATCTTATTTGGGCTAAAGTGTATATTTTTTAAAAATGACAATATTATCATTCAGGAAATAGCTGATGGGTTGAAACCTTTTACATTTTTTTCATATATTTTAGCCACAATCAAGCAATGAAAGGTAAAATAGGGATATATTTTTTCTAACAGTTATTTTTTTTTCTCTCTCTCCCCCATGTTTTCTTTTATTCTATTTATATTAATATTACAACAACACAATTACACTAATCAGTTATATCAATCAGTTATAATTATCCTATAATATACAAAATAGTTATTAATGCATTATAATAAACCAAATAATTACACAAAATTATGACACGAACCCAGTTTGTCATTTAGTTGTTTATATAAACTAAATAATTGCACCATTTAGTATCGCAACATCGTTACACCATCATGTCTTAACAATTGCACGAGACTTTAATTATTAAACCCATTAAAAAATAATTATACCCATTAAAAAAATAGTTACAAAAATTAAAAAACAGTTACATCTATTAAAAAAATAGTTACACAAATTAAAAAATAGTTACATCTATTAAAAAAATAGTTACACATTAAAAAACAGTTGCACCCATTAAAAAAATATTTACATCTATTAAAAAACAATTACACCCCAACAACAAACAATACATAATATCTAATAAAATATCGTGGTCAATTCTTTTTTTCTTTTTTAAAAAAATTCAGTGTTTATTCACATATAATTTGTGGCATTCTAATCAAATCCCATTGTCATAGAATTATTTTGCCCAGGAAGAATGGTTTTGATCATTAATGCCCCCTATTTTACCTCTTATTACTATTGTTAATTTTTACATACTTATTTCCTTAAATAACTGTCAATGATGACTATATAATTTAAGAGAGGGTATTTTTGTAAAAAGATTTTAATTCATTTGAATTTTGTAACTAAACACAAATTTTTTTATAAAAATTGTATTTAATAGAGTAAACAATTTATTCATATACTTTTGTTTAAATAAGTCTAATAATCACGCTAAAAAAACCCATGATTTAATGGCCCAGAAAGCCCAATTGTCAGCAATTAAAGTCCAGCCCCATATGGGCCTACGCAGAACAGGTTTAACTCAGTTCAGTGCCAAGCAGCCAACCCCTTCTAGGGTTTCTCTAGGGTTTTATCATTGTTCAGCGAAACCCTGAGGAGTTCCGAAGCAAGGCAACAGTTGGGTGTTTGTAAAGCAATCGATGGAGGGATTGAAGAAATCAGATGCGAATTTGGTTGTATACATACACCCATCTAAGGCCAAAAAGGTCTCCGAAGCCATCCTTCGTGAACTCAGTTCTCTGCTTTTCAAGTAATTCTTTGCTTTTAACTCTGTCTTCTTTTGATCTTTCAAGAATTAGTGCCATTTAATTGTGATCCTGACTAGTACACACAAACGTTCATATAATTTCATATTTGACTTCACTCAGTGATTTCTAACGGCACGGTAATGAGTTCTAACGGCTTTCTGAAGTTTCACTAGTTCACGTAAAATTGGGGGAGATGTGATTAGCGAAGACAATAAAATATTTTGTTTCGTAACAGTTATTGTTGTGGTGAGTATGGCCCTAGATCAAAAAACGGCGAGTATGATCCAGTAAACAACTGACTAATTATTTTTTATCACAAAAATTGACTATGATAATTTTACATGTCACCATTGGAAGCTTCGGATGAAGCACCTACCTGGGTATATATGTATCTTGCGTATGAGTTACTCGTGTCACAAACGTAAGGATGCTGAAGAAGTAAAACTTGTCCCAAAAATGGGGAGAGCACTCAAATTTAATTTGACGCTGCTAATTCTCATGTTCACGAAATTGCAATAATGGCAATACATTCACTTTCATTCTCAAACTTTAGTGTAGTTGAGATGATCAAACATTCCTGCCCCTTTAGAGATGTTTTTGAGGTATTTTGCAGAGCGGCACATGTAATTGGGAAATTCAGATGTAGACCTCTACACATGGCTGATTGACATATTTACGCTACAGACATAATAAGGTATTAGCCATGTATGTATATATTCAGCATCTCCTATTTATTTTTAGTTTCTTGTTGTGGTTATTTTTACAGGTTCCATGAAACTTTTGATGGTGTTTTGTTGGCATATGACGTGAAAATTCTTAGTCAAGTGGCAAAGATTCTTCCAGGGATTCATCCTTATTTTGGTGTGAGACTAAAAGCCGAACTCTTAACTTTCTATCCCAAGCCCAACATGCTTTTAGGTAGTTGTGCTGTGATCCTACTCATAATATCTCTATAAGACAGAAAAAAGGGAAATTTTGTTTGCATATCATATGATTGCCCCCAGTTCCACAACCCAAAGAAAAAAAAACCCGACCTTTTTTTGGACAGAATAAACAAATCCCCCGGGTACGTATATGTTAGGTTATTATCATGTCAGAATGGCAATTAACTTGATATGCACCGGAAGCTGTCTTAATTTTCTCTGTTTTCTTATTCTTTTACCCCTCATTCTCGTCTTACTCCATTGCTTTGAACGAATTCTTTGGGTGGTGGGTGGGCCTCAGCTACTTATTCTTCTTGGAATTGATCTAATTCTTCATTACATTGCATCGTTGTTGTGGTGACCTTGTTTATTATTTTGTGATATCTATAATTTTCAGAAGGAACGGTAGTTAAACTGGGTCAACAATCCATGCATGCCATTGTTCTTGGGTTTTCATCTGCTATTATTATACAGGAAGATATTCGTGATGAATTTAAATATAAAGTTGTAAGTTATTCTGAACTATTATGTTATCCGAAATTAATATGTTTGCCGATCTTTGGGTTTGGACTCGATGCTAATTAATTCATTACTTTGCATGCTTATGTTCTTGCAGAAACATGGCAAAGAAGTTTTTGTTAGCAGAGGTAACAAGCGGCATCAAATAGAAGTTGGAACCATTATACGTTTTATAGTCAAAAGGTAGCCCATTCTTTTTACTTCTGTACTTTTGACTGTGGCAATAATGTTTTACTCTGGTCATTCAATTTTAGGATGTTCTTTCTCTCTCCCTCTCTCTCATACAATAGCAGAATAAATATGCTGTTTGAATAAGATTTTAAGGCTTCATACTGTAAGACTCCTTTTAAGCAAGGAATTGAAGGATGTTTTGTCACTTTATATATACATTTTAAGGCTTCATACTGTAAGAATCCTTTTAAGCAAGGAATTGAAGAATGTTTTGTCACTTTATATATACATATATCAATTATACCTTCAAGAATTTCATTTTTTTTTTTTTAATTTGGAAGATTATGACCTTTGATTAGAAGATTGCAAACCTACCCAAATGACCTTTTCTCATCAGTGAGTTCTTGGTAGTATTGCAGTTTACATGCCAATTTTAAGAGGAATAATTTGTTTATAGATTAAACATCCATATTAGGATAGGCACGTTGAATTTGTGTCAAAATAGTAATTATAGATAAAGCCAGTTCACCTACGTGAAAATGAGTAGTGGTTGACAAAATCAGTTCAACAACTTAAAAATGTTGCTAATGATTTGGATGTGTGACTGCAGCCGATTTTTGATGACTTTGCATGTTTTTGGTTGCATGTCATTGACCTGGGGGTGATTGCTACTCTTATGTTCAATCACTTTAAATCAAATGACTGGGGTTTTGCTACCAAAAATGACCTTCAGCTTTATGATACGTAAAAATCTTGTGAACTGCTCTTGCGAATTGTTGTATATTTAGCTAAAGATTGGAAGCAAGTCCAATCATGCAACATTAGTTATTAGCATCCCTTACGGATTATGGGCATTGAAAGCATATTACTGAATATCTCGGTAGCACAGATATGGATATAGGATACAAATACGATACGATATAGATATAAAGGTAAGGCAAAACCTAAAAAAATATGGTACATATATGTCTATAATAAAATAGGGTCCAAATACATCTATAATAAAATATATTTTATGTTTTACTATTATTTAACAATTTAAAAATTATAATTATTAATAATTATTTAACATAATAAGTAAAATTAACAATTTTTACTTTGAAAAAGATGTATATCGTCTCATTTTGATATATTAATAAAGTGAATGTGAGCAATTAAATGAATTAGAACTGACATTTAATTAGTTGGTTTTTTTACAAGTATTTGTTTATAAAATTATAGTGTAAATAACTCATTTTTTATACTCTTTTGACATGTAATCATGGATAATACTATAAAAAAACTCGTGTCTTCAAAATCAAATAGAATTTTGTTGATGTGTTTTATATTGTATGAAAACTTGAAAAGAGAGGGTATAAATTAAAATAAAAAATTGGACATCTAAGTATCTACATATTTTATTAATTATCGGATATGTATGATGCATATCCGATACTTATCCTTAAGAATCCGACGAATATTTTATCCGATACGGGTATAACGATCTTGACGAAATATTCATGTTTCATAGCTGAAGATTATAGGACATATCCAATTGTTTCAAACAAGTAGCAATGCTTGATACAAATCCCACAGTTTGCAAGGTTATGACACAGTACCTATCAGGCCCGGGGTACATAACAGGCATCCCACAATAAGAGAAAAGTCAGGGTACAGTACCGTTGTCTCTTACATTCAATAGATAGAGAAGAGGTCATACAGTCTCATAACAGAGTCAAAATGTATGATATGTTGCTCATAAAAATGACAAATTAGATGGCACAAAGGACAAATGTTAAAATAATTTGAGGGTAGATGTAATGAGGTGTTACTTCTATCCCCAATAAAAGGGGGAAAAACCTTATTATCCAAATCAGGGTCGTACTTGTTGAAATGAGATTCTTGTTAGTGATCAACAATTTACAATCTTTTTTTAACTATAAAGTATGAGAATGCATGTTGATACTCATGATCCCCTCCTTTTCCCCCTCCACAAAGTATGTGCATGTTAAACAACTAACTCGTAAAAAGGTTCATGTCAGTCAGAACAAATAGATGTGATTTGAGTGGAATAATATTCATGTCATACTCAGTCATACATGAAAATATGATGCAAAAATTATAGCTTGGATTATAGCTTGGAGTTCTTTTGATTTTTGCCTTTTTATTTCAATGACTGGATATTTCAATTCATGATGGCAAAGTAGTAGTTGATGATGATGGTAATCCTCTTCTCTTTCATCCCATTGTAGAATTCAATAAAATTTTATTTTGACCGTAAGGATCAAGGAGTTTGACATTAATTTCTCCTATTAGTTTTGATGAAGAAGTACTCCATATTTGTGGATCGTTGGTTCCAGATCATACCGGAAGTGTCGGCTGGTTGGACAAGAATTTGGAAGAGTGGTCACACGCCGACAGGTTATTACCTAAATTGTTAGTCCTGGCAGTGGAAACAATTTTGTTTCTGATTCAATAGAGAAAGTGCACTGTGCACTAGTGGTCATGTCATCTTACTGTTTATGTTTACGAAACAATTCTGTAGCCTCACCAAAAAACGGACAGGAAGTGAAGGTAGTAGGGAAATGCTGGAGCATAATAAAGCAATGGTTGATGGGGAAACATTATATTTGAACACTGACCATCACATTAAGAAGTCAAAGAGGCGGAGGAGTGGTGATTCTTGAAGGCTGCTGCAAGTTGCATACCTTGACACTGTTCTTTCCAGGTAACCAAAATTTTCTGCCCTGTTATCACATGCCTTGAATTATGTTGATAAGTTCTTCAATGCTCTAAAATCTTTTGCTTTACGGGAACCCTTCCATCTCACCACTCATTAACTGTTGAGAAGTTCTTCTATTTGTTCATGTAAGATTCAACTTTAATACGTGAAAGAAACTTCATGCATGATATCAAACAGCTAATATTGACAATCTGTTTCTTTGAAGTTCACTGAAAAAATTTTCAAAAAAAAAAAAAGTTCTCTGAAACGATGGTTCGGAAATGTTAAAACGGTGGAAAGGCCTTTGCTATATGGAAATGCACTTTTTATCCGCTAGTTTTGTGCTTCTGTTAGTAGCATTTATGCTTCGGCTATGGAAGCTTAATCTTCCATACTTGGAACTGTGCTTCAATTTTCCCATTTTTATAAGCAATATGTTGCTTTTTATTTTTTGGAAAATCTGCTTATGTCTAAGGCTTTGATAGTAATGTAGCTGTGGTTAGTGTTGGGGAAAGCTCCACAAGCAAGGGTTTCCCTGTGAAGTATTTGTGCTGTAATATAGCTTGGAGAAATATATAGGTTAATATGTTGAGCGGATAAGTTGTCTTTAGAAAACACACAGTGAATTGCCTGTGCGGCTCGTGATAACTATAATGAAAGTGAGGAGGAAGGAAGATGGTTTGCTTGGTACACAGGTACTAGGAGCTGCATGTAGTTGAGCATCTAGTCAGAAATGTTAGAGGTAGTCTTTTCAGAGCATGTTAGCTTTTGTGCTTTTGCACATTAAAAAATTTGTTCTCTTTGTTTAGTAGAAACAAAATTCTTTCAATGGTACACTTGATGAGCTTGAAAAGTTGAGCTATGTCTAGTGGACTAATGTTTGTTGGTGAAGGAGAATGTCTTCTTGATCTACTTTTAGTTTGTGGCTTGGTGTCTTAAACACACTGGCATCTTCTGTTTTCTTGGATTTGGTTAGGTTTTGCCTGAATGTGGCACAATCTTTGGGTGGTGTTCAAGGCTAGAAGCTGGCAGAGCCTTGTTTGCACGATGGCTTCTCTTTATGTTGTATTATGTGTGCATACGGCGTGAGAATTTGGAGACTTGTTGTTTGGCAATTATTTTTCTTTCTTTGAAACATTTTTCCAATTTAGACATTGTTTTTTTTTTGTTGGATGAGATATTAATGTTATGATCTGGTGTTTGGCATCGTACTTGTGTTTGCTACCCTTTTTTTGAGTCCCCTTTTTTAGGAGAAAAATATATTGAACTTATTGCTTGAGTTTGTTATGGTCATCTTGTAGGGTTGATAAATGTTGATGCACATGAGGTGAATTTCAAAACCAAGGAGCTAATTGGCTTAACGAACGTTCCTCTGGGATGGGTGAAAAAGGTTTTAAAGAAATTGAACTCAAGGAGAAGTCGTGCATCATCCACTATATTGTTATATGGAACTCAAGGAGAAGTCGGGCAGAAATACATTGTTATGTGGACTTGTAATTATCCATTTATAAAATATATCTGGTCAGCCTTTTATCTATTCTCAGCATTTTTTTTGGGCAGCCGATTTTGAGTTGGGTTCCAAAAGGCCATCCCTAATTCTTTTTGGCATGAAATTGTTGAAGCTATGTTTTTTTTTAATCTCTGGCTTTTTGTTTGGATTCAATTGGTCTCTATATTTTCATTCATGCAAAGACACGGTGTTCATTGCTATTAGGTGGTGTATAATATATGATGCACCCTGATTGTGGATA